ACACCTTTCTACGTGGCTTAGACCAACTGTTGTGGATTTCATTGACTGATGCCAAGTTTTTGTTTGACCGCCGCTAGCTTTTTTCCAGCCTGACCCTATATCCGCTAACATTGCTCGTCGAGGGAGGCGATGGCTTGGCATACGTAACACATGTCCTAACCATCTCAGTCTTTGTAGCTTCACGACTTCGTCGATTGATTTCCCCTGTTTACCTAGAACTCTACGCCTAACCTCCATGTTGCTCACCTTATTATGCCACTTTACACGGGAAATAGAACGCAGGCACCTATGATCAAAGACAGCTAGTCTTTTCATGTCTTCCACTCTCAGTGGCCAGGTCTCACAACCATAAAGGAGGACGGAGCGGACTGATGAGCAGTACACCCGCCCTTTGGTCGATAGTCGAACATCTCGTCTACGCCAGAGTCGGCGTAAACTAACAAATGCGAAACGAGCCCCTTGTATTCGTGCTGAGATTTCGTCAGAGATCAGCCCGTTGGGGCTGATGGTACTTCCCAAATAAGTGAAGCGGTCAACGTGCTCTACCACTTCACTTCCTATTTTTAAACTAGGCGTCGATGTAGTCCAGTCCTGTAACATCATCTTGCATTTGGCGGGAGCGAATCGCATGCCAAACATTCGTAGATTGCGGCTCAAGGTGTTTAGAAGACTCTGCATTTCGTCAGCGTCTTCGCCTAGAAGGACTATATCGTCTGCATATTCCAAGTCAACGAGATTATTCCCCGGTAGCAAGTCAATCCCTGAGTCGCTGAAGTCACCTAGGGTTAAGTCCATTAACACATCTATGATGAAGTTGAATAGAAAAGGAGATAATGGGCATCCTTGACGGACACCACTGGTCGTCATCAGTTCAGATGACAGCTCGCCGTAAGCCCTCACCTGGCTGTATGAGTACGAGTAGAGTGCCTTAATCAGTGCAATATATTTTCTCGGAATTCCCTTTACAGCCAAGCATCTCCAGAGAACTTCCCGATCGACAGAGTCGAATGCTGCCTTTAGGTCAAGAAATATAATGACTGTTGGACGCCGGTAGGAATGCCTATGTTCTAGAATCTGTCGGAGGGTGAAGATATGATCAATACACCCTCTTCCTGGTCTAAAGCCTGCCTGGCTCTCTCGTGTTTGTGCTTCCCGAGCACCACTCAGTCTACGCATGATTATTGAGCCTAAGACTTTAGATACTATATTAGTCAAGCTAATCCCTCTGTGATTATCACAGGAAGACTTGTCTCCCTTCTTGTATATGGGGATAATCAGTGACTTACACCAACCCGATGGGACTTCTTCTGATTCCCAGACGCTGCCTAGTACCTCAGTTAATCCGGACAGTAAGCTGTCTCCACCGTACTTAAATACCTCTGGCGTCATTCCATCAGGTCCCGCTGCTTTGCCTAGTTTCAGATTGGTGACAGCTTTAGTAACCTCAGTTAGTGACGGAGGACCTGTATCTATATCCCATTCAGGGAGGTGTTGGATGCTCGGAAGGTTGAGCGTGGCTGTGGGCAAATTAAACTGCTCCTCATAATGCTCTTTCCAACGATCCAGTCGTCTATCCTGTGAGCTAATTATAGTGCCATTTTTTTCCGAGATTGTCTCACTAATGATTTGTCTTCTCCCACCCGTTTCCCTGATGAGTCCAAAGAGTTGCCTGGTGTTGCCTATCCTCAAAGCTTTCTCCATCTCTTTGGCTTTTGTCGCCCACCACTGTTCACGGTCCTTGCGGAGACTTTTCGTAAGTTTCCTCTTGTGCAGCTTTCGCTCCTCATTGAATTCGGAGCTCGCCGGAATAAGTCTTCTAGCATCTATCAGTTCGGATGAGGCGGTGGAGATCCAGTGGTTTTTACTCACCTTTGGGTTTACCTTATTCACAGCTTTTACAGCTGTATCTATGGCTGCCTGGATATTTTTCCAAGCTTCTTCAGGGTGAGCACAGCTGTCGAACACAGATATGTGTTTAGCTAGTTCTTCCTGAAATACGGATTTAGTTTCCTGATCGAGCTGGGGACGTGATGGTTTTACCGCCAGCTGTTTCCTACGTCCGTTCAGTCGTAAGCACACCCGAGCGCGGACCAGTGCATGGTCGGTATCTACGCACGTGTTCCAGAAGGAGCGACAATCTCCTACCGACCCACGCCAACGATAGCTTATTGCTATGTGGTCTACATAAGAATTTAGCTGAGGTAAGAATGGTTGACACTGAAAAGATAAGTAATTTAGAAAAAAGCTCAGCTATTGCACTTCATGCAATAACAAACAACCACACAATAGGGTGGGATAGGGTTAAAATTCTAAAAAGTAATCTAGATAGGTTGAGAGAGAGGTTGATCACGGAATCCTTGTTCATCGAGTCTACACCCAACACATGCAGTAGGAATGACTCGTCACTCATACCTGAAATATGAAAAATACTATTACCAATCAAATCAAGTGAAAATCAAGAGAAAAACAATGGAACTATATAAATGAATTTAGGAAGTCGTGTGATTACCTTGATATGATTATGAGCAATAAATTGTGCTCGAAACGTCATCAGTAAACATTACTGTATAACACTGTGAGACTTTATCAAAACAAAATTTACCCGTAGTGGAACAATAGTTCCACCCAGTAGCGCCTTGGGTTATCGGGATATGCAAGCCCAACCACCACTTCAAGGCAACAGTTATCGGTCAGCGAAGTGACCAGTAATCAGAGAAGAAACCTGTACACAAATGACTAAGGGAAAATGAAATTCAGAAATAATAGCAAGAAAAACTAAAAGATTGTGTGTTAGCGAGAGAATGGTAAAGAGTTAAAAAATTGGAGAATCTCTTAGTGCCTATTACAATACACTAACAAATATGGTTACTATGCAGCAATGCCTTGTGTAAGCCAATGGTGCAGTGGTAGGATGCTCGACAACCAGGCATAAGATTCGGGGTTCAATCCTTGACCGATGCACTATTAACACTTGCTTAGATGGTAGCAAGCCGGGTGGAGATGGGAGGTTAGGCATGAGACCAACAACCCCACTCCGTTCTTCGTTATTACTCTTCCTTTGTCTCACACCTCTGCTTACTGTTACTATTATGCTTTTCTTGTACTTTCTTCGCTTGCTTTGTGTGCTACATGGAGTGTGGCGACTTGAACTGCCGCACATATGTGCAAAGTTCTATCTCGAAAACAGACAGACAGACAGTGAAACTAGCACCATTGCTACTGGAGCTTCAGAACTTAAAAAGATTGTTCCTCTCGGAACGCAAATGAGTCAAATGAATAGTAATGAACGACATTGACTTACTTAGGCTACATAACACCGAAATAGTTTACGGCGTAATCGAAGGTACTGATAAATTGATGAACGAAGACGATAGATAAAAACCATGATTATTGAACACCCAGGTTTTATGAAGGAAATGTAACCTACCAACGGTATCAGTTCTGCATTTGAATTCAACAGACGTTTTTATCCAAGAAACAATATCTCGTAAGTTAGTGTTTTCCTTCTTACAGAGCTAAAATAAGTCGACAGTTACTACGTAAGTCAGTTCTATTCTCTTTCTCATGTGTAATTATTTTACAGGAAAAGTTTTATTGGTACATAGTTAGCTGGTATATATGCTTTGCATCTGTCAACTACTTCAGATAACCAAACTTAGTCTTTATATTCACTTCTTCACTTCACTTCTTTTGCAGACTAGTTTCGTATATGCCAGTTTACGCCGTCTCTGGCTTAGTAGACGTGATGACCAGCTGGCTGGCTGTCGACCAAGCGACGTGTGTACTGCTCAGAAGAAGTTCGCTCTGTCCTCCTTTATGGTTGGCTGTGAGTGACTAGTGGCCATTCAGAGTGGAAGACATGAAAAGCCTAGCTAGCTGTCTTTGATCATGTGTCTGAGTTCTATCTTCCGTGTTAGGTGGTAGCAATAATGGGGTGAGTAATATTGAGCTTAGGCATCGATCGAGTGCTAGGTAATGAGGGGAAATCAACAACAGACGAGGTTGTGATGTTACACTGATTAAGGTGGCTAGGACACGTGTTACGCATGCATTCCTAGCCATTCATTGCTTTCCCCGACTACGGAAAATGTTAGCTGATATGGGGTAGATGAGATTGGAAAAGAGCTAGCACGTAGTGGTCAAGCCAAAACATGGCTCCGTCAGTCAGTGAAATTCACAACAGTTAGTTTAAGCCAGGCATGTAGGAAGATGTAGACTTCCTGGTTGGGGTTCTCGGGACGGTAAACACCGATGTCTGGGGCATTTGGTGATATGGTTCGAAATTGTATTGAATGGCTGACGAGGATGCATCGACTCCTTGTGAATTGTAATATCCAATAAAAATATGTTGTTCTTCGTTATTACTATTCCTTTTGCCTCATATCTGTTTGTTGTCTCTATTTTGCATTTCTGTTTACTTTCTTCTCTTACTTTGTGTGCTGAGTGAAGTGTGACGACTCGACCTTCTGCACATTGGTGCAAGGTTCTGTGTTGAAACCATTCAGTCAATCAGACTTCAAAGTAACGCCGTAAGAAATTCACATCACAGTTCCTTTGACGTAAGCATCATGTAGATGCACGACCTTTGCACTAGCTGAAGATGCACAAGAAACCAATTCCCAGTTGGGTTTATACAAAGGTAACTAACTTACGGAAGAAATAAATGAAAGAGTCTGCTAATAGCTGCATATCTCTACATATGAGAACTTCCTTCTTAAAATCCCTGTGTAAAACAAAATAACGCAAACACATTGGACAAAATAAAGCGGCTAAAGTGGAAAAGAAAGACATTCTATATTGGCAACATCTGCCTTGGTCGCATTAACAAAAATCTCATTAAAATGAGCATGATATAATGCATACAATTTGTGTTTTAATAAATCAGCACTCTATATAGGTGTAAATAATAATTGAAAACACACTTCATTACAAAACAAAACTATAAGACGAACTTGGAGAGTATTCGGACCAGCATCGGTAATTGATTCTGTAGCGCTTACATGCAATCGCAGTTGATCAAATGTAATTAAACTGCCTAACCAATCTGGTGCCAGATCACCTAAACGGCGTCTTGTGAATGTTATTGATCCAACGGGAAAATGTTTTAAAACACGATGAAAATAATGCAATATACAGCGTAACTTTTGAACTTTAACATGCAGCGTCCTATAAATAATGCCAGAATATCGGTAGAGAAGTTATTTAACATTAGAAGTTACTTAAAATAGATACAAAGTGACATAAAACGAGACGTTCCTTTTCTTAGAATATATGTAATATTCAGGTGAGCCATGTGTTAAGTCTAAATCATGTGTGCCGAATATACGGGCTTTCGATACAATATGTAAAAAACAAGTTATGTAGCCTAGAAATAAGGTTATGGTATTACTCAACACCTGAGTTACATCTAGATCACTTCTAATATGAATTTTCAATAATGATTGTAGAAGTAATTCCAGGGTGTCTGTCCTATTATTATTATTCTGATGCTTGATTTTTGTCTTTTACATTTTCATTCTTTTAGCATGTACTATATGCGTCGGTGGCACAGCGGTTAGCATGCTCGCCGACCATGCACATGGTCCGGGGTTCGATCCCCGACCGACTCATTCCTTTACCTCACTTAGCCAGGAGTAATGCTGGTAAAGAGGGAAGGTTGGGCATGAGGCTAGCAACCCCATCCTGTAAAATAAACACTGCTACAGAAACTTCAAGCCACTCGCTTGAAGCCCTATGTTCCACTAGGGGAACGTGAAGGAAAAAAATATTAGGCTATGTTTGTAAATTTTGGGTGCATTAAGCTTATTTTTCATACTTTTATGTAAAACTTCCCAGTGTGTGGCAACTGTAACAGACGCATTTCTGTTGGAAGTTTTGATCGCCAGTCAGTTAGATACACCGATATTTGAAAGAATAATTTGGCAAGGAGTAGCGATATTCACAATTTTGACGGTAAACAAACAGTAAACAAATTTCAGCAGCCGTAAAATACCTTGAAACACTCTATCAACAGTACCAACCACTGATTCTCACCATCCTGAGACTTTCAACCAAGTACTTTTATGCATATTCAACCATTTCTATCCATAAACATGAAATAGGCAGCGGGTTGCGGAAATAAAGGAATACTTTTTTATAAAATTATGATGGCTTTTTTGACATAACCTTGGGTTTCTCTGCCTTTTAGACTTGGCATCAAGATATACAAATATATTATAGGGCTACAGGACTTCATCATGAGCTGACATTGGTTAGAGGACCATTGAAAAACCTGGGAGTATTGGATAGCTGTTTCGTCCCGATTTGGGACTCTTCACCAGTACGCATCCACCGGGGTTCGAATCCAGGACCTTCTGGTTACAAGGTGAGCTCCTAGACCATTAAGCCACTGGGACCCCCATCCAATGGCCCATGAATTCTAACTTCTGCCAATTCTGGGTCGGGTACCAGATAAATGAAAAATTCTTCATATATGCATTCATGTGACTTTCAAACATAAAAATCAGAGGACCTTTATTCAGAAGAATCAAACTCTGGATCTAAAATATCACATATTTTGTTTTAATCCGATTGTATAAATGTCTCAAAGAGTAATAAGTAAAATGCGAGTTGAACTAAAGAATGACAGATAAATGGAATGGAAAAACATTTATTTATTAGTCAAGAATTAGATGCTTCGAGAAATGCAACAAGCATTTGTGGTTCAAATGACACAGCACAATTTCAACCAAAACGTATTCAGGAGATAAAACTAGTGTGTATAATTATTAGAACTGGTAGAAACTCACCTGTTTATATTATGCTGACTGATAGGTTTTGCTGACAGCAGATTTGAGAAATTAATTTCAGGAAAATTGACATACTCTGCCTCTTGACCGTGACAATTACGTCTGGGAAATGTACAGAAGAAGGCATTTGCCAAAAGACTGGCTATCTGTAGTTGACTTAAAGTAAGTGAACGTTTACATCCACGTCTGAGTAAAGGAATAGGCTAATTTTTTAAGAGAACATTGAAGATAGTTATTACTGTCACATAGATATTAACTGTTATTTACTGCATAACTGACTACATAAGAAAAACATTTTACGAGTACACAAATACAAACAACAGACTATGATTAGACATTATTGGCTTTTATAAACGCTAGAGCATAATTTAGCTGTCTGTCTGGATTCAACATAGAACTTCGCACCGAAGTGCAGCAGTTCGAGTTGCCACGTTCCAAATAGCACACGAAGGTAAACAAAAAGATGAGTGAAGAGAATCAATAGAGTTGGACAGGTATAAGAGTGAAACAAAATGGGTAATGTTAGAAAGAAATATGAAAGATTACAGAGACTGAATACATCTGCGCTGGCCATTGACAACGATTTTGAGCCATGTCACCTATTGTCTCCAACCATTGATTCCTAGAGTCCCGAGGGCCCCAACCCGGAAGTCTGCATCTCCCTACCTGACTCAGTTTAACTGTCAAGGATTTCATGGATTGATGCCATGTTTTTGTTTGGCCACCACTTACTCTTTTCCAACCTGCACCTAGTAATGCCCGTCGGGGGAGGCGATGGTTAGTCATGCACACCACGTGACCTAGCCATCTCAATCTATGTAACTTTATAACCTCGTCGATTGATTTTCCCTCTTTGCCCGACACTCTACACCTAACGTCAACATTGCCCACTTTATCAAACCACCTAACGTGAGAAAGAGATCGCAGACATCTATGATCAAAAACAGTCAACCTTTTCATGTCTTCAACTCGTATTGGCCATGTTTCAGAGCCACGGAGAAGGACGGAGCGAACTGCTGAGCAGTACACACGTCCCTTGGTTGATAGCCGGATGTCACGCCTACGCCAGAGATGGTGTAAGTCAGCGAAAGCAGCTCGAGCTTTCTGGATCCGTGCTGAGATTTCGTCGCTAACCAGTCCGTTGGTGCTGATACAACCTCCCAAATAGATGAAGTGTTCAACATGTTCTATCACTTCACTCCCTATCACTAAGCTAGGAGTTGACGTAGTCCAGTCCTGTAGCAGCATCTTACATTCTGCAGGGGAGAATCGCATGCCAAACCTTCTCCTGTTCGTTTTATTTCACAATCTAACACTGCTAATTCCAGCGAAAAGTAATTAAATTGAATATTCAGTAAATATAAAACTGACTGACTGGTTTCAACGTAGAACTCTAGACGGGTATGTAGCAGTTCGACCTGCCACACTCCATGTAGCACACAAAGAAAGAGAGAACAGAGCAAACAGAAATTCAAAAGAGAGATAACAAACAGAAGTGTGAAGGGAAAAGAATAGTAGTAATATGGAAGAACAACATAGTTTCATTGGATATGTCTGTCTGTCTGTTTTCGACATAGAACTTTGCACAAATGTGCGGAAGTTCAAGTCGCCACATTCCGTGTAGCACGCGAAGCAAGAGAAGAAAGTACAAGAAAAGCATAATAGAAACAGTGAGCAGAGGTGTGAGACAAAGGAGTAATAAAGAAATACAAAACAGTTTCATTGAAGATCATAAGTCACAGGGAGTGGATGCATCTGCGCCACTGAGAACGATTTTGAGCCATGTCACCAATTGTTTCCAACCATAGATTTTTACCGTCCCGAGGACCCCAGCCTGGAAGTCTACACCTTCCTACGTGGCTTAGACCAACTGTTGTGGATTTCATTGACTGATGCCAAGTTTTTGTTTGACCGCCGCTAGCTTTTTTCCAGCCTGACCCTATATCCGCTAACATTGCTCGTCGAGGGAGGCGATGGCTTGGCATACGTAACACATGTCCTAACCATCTCAGTCTTTGTAGCTTCACGACTTCGTCGATTGATTTCCCCTGTTTACCTAGAACTCTACGCCTAACCTCCATGTTGCTCACCTTATTATGCCACTTTACACGGGAAATAGAACGCAGGCACCTATGATCAAAGACAGCTAGTCTTTTCATGTCTTCCACTCTCAGTGGCCAGGTCTCACAACCATAAAGGAGGACGGAGCGGACTGATGAGCAGTACACCCGCCCTTTGGTCGATAGTCGAACATCTCGTCTACGCCAGAGTCGGCGTAAACTAACAAATGCGAAACGAGCCCCTTGTATTCGTGCTGAGATTTCGTCAGAGATCAGCCCGTTGGGGCTGATGGTACTTCCCAAATAAGTGAAGCGGTCAACGTGCTCTACCACTTCACTTCCTATTTTTAAACTAGGCGTCGATGTAGTCCAGTCCTGTAACATCATCTTGCATTTGGCGGGAGCGAATCGCATGCCAAACATTCGTAGATTGCGGCTCAAGGTGTTTAGAAGACTCTGCATTTCGTCAGCGTCTTCGCCTAGAAGGACTATATCGTCTGCATATTCCAAGTCAACGAGATTATTCCCCGGTAGCAAGTCAATCCCTGAGTCGCTGAAGTCACCTAGGGTTAAGTCCATTAACACATCTATGATGAAGTTGAATAGAAAAGGAGATAATGGGCATCCTTGACGGACACCACTGGTCGTCATCAGTTCAGATGACAGCTCGCCGTAAGCCCTCACCTGGCTGTATGAGTACGAGTAGAGTGCCTTAATCAGTGCAATATATTTTCTCGGAATTCCCTTTACAGCCAAGCATCTCCAGAGAACTTCCCGATCGACAGAGTCGAATGCTGCCTTTAGGTCAAGAAATATAATGACTGTTGGACGCCGGTAGGAATGCCTATGTTCTAGAATCTGTCGGAGGGTGAAGATATGATCAATACACCCTCTTCCTGGTCTAAAGCCTGCCTGGCTCTCTCGTGTTTGTGCTTCCCGAGCACCACTCAGTCTACGCATGATTATTGAGCCTAAGACTTTAGATACTATATTAGTCAAGCTAATCCCTCTGTGATTATCACAGGAAGACTTGTCTCCCTTCTTGTATATGGGGATAATCAGTGACTTACACCAACCCGATGGGACTTCTTCTGATTCCCAGACGCTGCCTAGTACCTCAGTTAATCCGGACAGTAAGCTGTCTCCACCGTACTTAAATACCTCTGGAGTCATTCCATCAGGTCCCGCTGCTTTGCCTAGTTTCAGATTGGTGACAGCTTTAGTAACCTCAGTTAGTGACGGAGGACCTGTGTCTATATCCCATTCAGGGAGGTGTTGGATGCTCGGAAGGTTGAGCGTGGCTGTGGGCAAATTAAACTGCTCCTCATAATGCTCTTTCCAACGATCCAGTCGTCTATCCTGTGAGCTAATTATAGTGCCATTTTTTTCCGAGATTGTCTCACTAATGATTTGTCTTCTCCCACCCGTTTCCCTGATGAGTCCAAAGAGTTGCCTGGTGTTGCCTATCCTCAAAGCTTTCTCCATCTCTTTGGCTTTTGTCGCCCACCACTGTTCACGGTCCTTGCGGAGACTTTTCGTAAGTTTCCTCTTGTGCAGCTTTCGCTCCTCATTGAATTCGGAGCTCGCCGGAATAAGTCTTCTAGCATCTATCAGTTCGGATGAGGCGGTGGAGATCCAGTGGTTTTTACTCACCTTTGGGTTTACCTTATTCACAGCTTTTACAGCTGTATCTATGGCTGCCTGGATATTTTTCCAAGCTTCTTCAGGGTGAGCACAGCTGTCGAACACAGATATGTGTTTAGCTAGTTCTTCCTGAAATACGGATTTAGTTTCCTGATCGAGCTGGGGACGTGATGGTTTTACCGCCAGCTGTTTCCTACGTCCGTTCAGTCGTAAGCACACCCGAGCGCGGACCAGTGCATGGTCGGTATCTACGCACGTGTTCCAGAAGGAGCGACAATCTCCTACCGACCCACGCCAACGATAGCTTATTGCTATGTGGTCTATTTGTGTCCAGCGTTGGTTTGATGAAGGGGGTCTCCAAGTCAAACAGTGTCTCTCCTTGTGTTTAAAGTTAGTGCTTACAAGAAACAAATGATTATCAGAGCAGAACTGTAGGAGACGGTCACCGTTGTCGGTTCGCTGGCACGGAGCTCCATAGGTGCCACCGACATCCTTCTCAGATTGACACAATTTCCCTACTTGAGCGTTAAAGTCACCAGCTAGAACGACTATGTCTGAGCGTTTAGCCTTTCCACCAAACTAGACAGCTTTTGGTAGAACTCATCCTTCGTTTCATCTGAACTGCAGTCAGTGGGGGCGTAGGCGGAGATTACGAAAAGGCATCGGCGAGTAGTGCAGTCCTTCCTCCTTCTTACTGATCCGTTCAGGCGGACAGCACACATTCGGCTATCTACCGGGATCCAGTCAAGCAATGTCTTTTCTGCCCTAGTACTCAAAGCTATCCCTACGCCAGCTAATCCTCGTGAACTAGCTGTGGCATCTCCTGACACCCTCAGGGTGAATTTTGCAGATTCAACCTGTTGGCCAGGTGGGGTTAGGTGAATAACCACACTTGGGTCTTGTATGCGTGTTTCTGAAACACAGCATACATCAATGGCTCGTGATGCCAGGGTCTTGGCTAGTGATGCTTGTTGTCCTATTTGGCAAAGTGTCCTAACATTAAGAGCTCCTATATGAAATTGGTGGCGCGGCTTTAAGAGGCTGTCGGTGGTGGTTTTTTGGCTTCCATCGTTTTTAGTGGACGCAGAGTGGAGAGGAAGTGGAGAGCTATCAAGTCGAGGAGTTGCATCAGTGGAAGGAAGGCAAGATGATAGAGATGAAGATGAAGACAAAGATGAGTGAGTAATAGAGAGGTTTCGTGTGCATTTCGGATTGTGAGGGCGATTGTTACTTCCCGGCTGCCCACACCGTGGAAGTTGGTTGCGTGACCGCAGAGCCCAGGGGACAACTGCTTGAGGCCGGTCACACGCGGCCTGTTTTTGTTCGTTCTTTTTTGTTTGGTGTGTCTCAGTAGCAGATTTATCACTCCCGCCCTGTGACACGGCAGCAGGAAGCGCGGTCGTTGTTAATCCGGGCCACGGCCGATCCGGCATGAAATTTTGTAATTTTGTATTGGACATGATGTTGGATTGGGTAGCTGCTTTTTGTTTAACCGCTATCCAAACAACCTGCCTGGCATGGTAGAACCTCAAGAGACATAAGTCTCAGCCAGTATAGCTTGATTAGGTCATTGCGGTGTTCAAGCCCGACCACCACGTCAAGGTAGCAGCTTTCGGTCGGGGTATGACAAATTACAAAGAATGAATGAGTTTGCGACAGCTATTGAGAATGATTTCCAGCCATATCACTAATTAATTGTCTTCAGTCATTGGTTTCCAACATCTAAAGGGCTCCAACAAGCCAGTCTATAACTCCCTACTTAGCTTTGTTGCTCTTCAATATCTGGATTTCTCTGGCAGATCGCGTTGCTTTTTGTCTTACTTTACACTGCAAGTACTGACAAAAATAAACGAAAGGCTGAAAGAGTAACGAAAGCCACTTTAGAATAATTCAAACTATTTTTCAACCACTCGCAAAAATAACACTGACTTATTGTTTGGTCAGCTGAAACGATTTAGATATTATAAACGAAACTAATCTGCAATAGGATCTAATAAAACCTGAGTACTCGCAATGAGTCTGTAACACTAACTAACAAGTCATTCAGAGAACATACACTAACCTTTGTAACAAAAACAGGTAGATTTAACGCCAACGCACAAAGACTGGGGAGAGCATTGTTAAAGAAGTTATCATTTCCTCCGTCAGGGATTAAATTTTCTTTACACATGTATTCTAAAGCCTTGAAATTCCATGATGACTTGAAACGAGAGTTGTATGATAAAATGGCTTCCTAAATTAAGATTCAAACAATAATATGCACTTCAAGTTATTCCATTCATACTGGAATTTACATTACACAGGAAAAGAACACTGATGTCAGTAAACTAAAACTTATTTTCTTTACCTTCAGCTCAGTGAAAGATCCTATTTTCTGTCTTAATGCCTTCTCCACCATAGTCCATCTAGAAGCAAGGTTGCTAGCTCCACCCTACAAAATCAATTTACTGTGTAGGCTTACTTCATAAATCGGATACACGCTTTCAGGAGAACATGGCATACGTACATAAGATCCATTCCACTTATCACAGTAGTTGTCGGGATACGGTATAGGTGGCCTATTGGGATCTCGGTCACACTGAGAGGACGTAATGACGAAAAACAACCACTTACACGAAAAAAGACTTTGTGCGTTCGTGAAGGTTGCAGAGGAGGTAGACATGAGGCCGCATGAATTAACTGCTTCAAAGATTCCCCCTGAAATCATCGCAATATAAGAGGTTCAATAACTCACCCTGAAATACTGTAGGCCTACAGATGGTTCGGCCATTGTCACACGGAGCTAGCTGTAACCAATACTACCAACTAGTAGGCACGACGGAAACGCGACCACGTTTTAGCAGGTAACATTCTATATTACAATTCAAAATAAAATGAAATGCTAGACAGTTAGTATAGTAACAATTATAGAAGTTCCCTACTCATTTTAAATTGATGCTAACACAATAACCATTGGATTATAACCTGACAAAACATACCACCGAATTTATGATATCTGACTTTTGCTGTTACCTTCTTTAGACTTGTTTTACAGTAACCACTGACAACGGTCGCAGAAAGGACTTGTGAACACCTCTTAATCTTGGTGTGCCAAAGAGTTTAATTCAAACTGAACAACACTCCTGGACTTAAATATTTTATATGCACATAGAGCTACTCATGACAACCTAGTGACCAGTAGACAATACATGTATATAACCAAGCTAATACAAGGGCAGACACGTGTATTCATGAAGACTGAGGGAATATGTTAATCGATTTATTCTAATGACATCAGATTGAGCAAAAAGTGAGGAATTACAACATTAGTTCATGATTGCGCAGTTATATCACATTCAGACATATTATTTCTGTTTATCCGGTTAGGTCCGTCCACAGTATACAGCTATTCATTAAGCTTCAGTAAGTAATAACAAAGGCGACGTATTCAAAAATTGTTAATAAGAGTAAGGAAACAGTAATATCGTTTAATAGTTTTAAACAGCAACCATGAATTTACTCAAATGATATGCCTAATACAACCAACAACACTACAGAAACCTTGGAAGCATTCTGGAAAATAATTCGCATACGCAAATCTCCATCTCAAGTTTGGAGAATAACTGTGTAACACTCTATTACGCTGGCTCACTTAGTCAGTAAATAAAGCAAACCACTCAAAATCTATTGACAATATGACAGTACTATTCCCGTGTTAAATTGTGAAATGGTCCCGTCACAATTATTCATTGTAATCAAAATCCCAAAGCTATGAGGGACGAGCAAGAGTAAACAACAGACACCAAAGTCCAGTGTTTGTCTTTAAGGGGACTCGCATATTCTAGAAAGGGTTCATAGGAAGGCAACACGTATGGTTCTCGGCATGACTAACTTGACATAAGAGGAAAGACCAGACAGTCTAAATCCTTTCTCCCTGTCATACCGTAGGCTGAGAGATTTAATCACGTTTAAAATTTTCAATAATGACTACGAACCTAACCTATTCTCTTTTACTCCCTACCAGGTCGAAACACCTTAGAGGACATAGCAGGAGAGTTGAAAAGCCAAGAAGAAATCATATTGCTGTTGAGTACTGGTTCTCACACCGAGTTACAAACTGTTGGAGCCAGCTCTCAGAAGATGTGGTGTCTGCAAAGTCAAATGACTCACTCAAGAAGGGTTTAGACAACCACAGAAATATATTAGGCAAGGATTGACATAGGTGCCAAGCCTTCTATCCTCAACCAATAAATCTGAAATCTGAAAATCAAATAACCTTCAGTCTGGTGGCTCAGCATTACACATCAACGCTGTTAATAATAATCATCGCAAGCTTAATCTGCGTCGGTGGCACAGTGGTTAGGACTCTCGCCGACCATGCACATGGTCCGAGGTTCGAACCCCTTCCGACGCACACCTGATATCTATGCTCGGCCTGCAAAATTTGGGATACCGATATCCATGCTGAAAATTCCATACTTGTACCAAGAATACAGTGTGGAATCAAGCTGTAAATAAAAAATAAAAAAATTTGATTTCTGCGTGGAAAATAGGTTTATAGGGAGGACTAAAAGACTGATATGTTGAGGGACAGTGAATTTTCAAAAGCAGTACCGGGTTTTCGATGGTCATGCATTTAGGTACAACCACATGAAAAAGTCTGTAAGGATCGGTTAGTCGTAGATTGTGGTGATATTATAGGTACCTTCATATCGAAATCAAAACTCTCCCCCAATAAAATATGATTAATAGCCACGTAGATGAACTTTTGTATCGAAACTGGCTTTTTATATGTCTGCAGACACTCCTATGAGTTACTGGGGCTTGATTTTTACAGCATGTTGGAGATATTTACCCCATATAATTCCTTTTTGTAAAATGTATATTATTAACACATTTTTTCATATATCAAATACCAACTTTTCAACTAGAACCTAAATGCTTCTCTCCAGGTCGTCCGGAGTTGGTGTTTACTCATTACTGTTCCCAAGGGACGTATTACTTAAGATAATTTTTATAATATTACAAAAAGGTGTTTTGATTTATGGCTGTTGAGATTACTGAAATACTCTATTGAAGAAGTCACGTGAACATATAAAATCTAAGTCGACGAAAAGGAAAAGAGCACGGAGGCAAGCAAAGAAACAACTCTACTCACGTTGGAGAGGCCTGGATCAAATTGCGCACAAACGACCTAGAGGAAAAATTCAGCAACGAAGGTCATGATTATTATTATTATTATTGTATCCTTTAGTTCCTAGAGGAACATAGGGCTTCGGCTGCGCACCTCCATTGCCTTCGGTTTCCTGACAACTTTTTCACCCTGCTCCAGGTCTGTCCACATGCTTTCATCTCCTCCTCGCATGACCTCCTCCAAGTCACCCTTGGACGACCAACTCGCCGCCTCCCTTTCGGGTTCCACTTGAGCGATGGCTTGTCTAGTGATGTCACTTGATGGTTTCCTCAGCGTATGGCCAATCCATCTCCATTTCTTTCTGCCTATTTGTTTCACAATCGGTTCCTGATTGGTTCGCTCCCAGAGATCCCTGTTGCTGATCTTTTCTGGCCGGCCATCTGATCTTGAGTATTGAGCGGAGACAGCTGTTAATGAAGGTTTGAAGTTTGTTTGAGATGCTCTTTATGACTCGCCAAGTCTCTGATCCGTATAGTGAGCAGCACTGACTGACTTCACATTGGAGTTGAAAATCCGGATCTTATTTTTGATGCTGATTGCTGTTGACCTCCACACAGATTTGAGAGTAATGAAAGCTTGTCTTGCTTTTCCGATTCTGGCTTTGATGTCCTCGTCAGTTCCGCCTGTAGTTGAGACGATGCTTCCCATGTTGGTAGGTGAAGGAGGTTGTTTCTTTCAGGTTCTTCCCATTTATGCTTATTGTGGTCTGTTGTTGCTGTTGATGTTGGCTAGGAATCTTCATCATCTCTGTTTTATCTATGTTCACGTGAAGTCCTATCTTTGATGCTTCTTCTGCCAACTTGTTACTTTTCATTTGCATATCTTCCAGTTTATGGGAAATCAGACATATATCATCGGCGAAATCCAGATCCTCCAAGTTCTTTGTGTCAGTCCATTTTATGCCTGTTCCCTCGTTGGTTGCCGTTGTCTGTCGCATTATCCAATCAATTGCAATCAGGAAGATCATTGGTGATAGTAGACAGCCTTGCCTCACTCCCGTCCTCACTTCGAAGGCTTCCGTAAGTTTCCCGTTGTGGATTACTTGGCATGCAGCATTTTCTCATAACTGTTGGATGAGACGTATAAATGTCGATGGGACCCCGTAGTAGCGAAGTAGTTTCCAAATCACCTCTAGATCGACGCTGTCGAAGGCCTTTTCAAAGTCGATGAAGTTGAGATAGAGAGGTGACTGCCATTCCAAGCTTTGTTCAATGATGATCCGTAGAGTGGCGATTTGATCAATACATGATTTGTTTCTCCTGAATCCGGCCTGTTCCGGACGAAGTTTTTCATCCAGGGTGGCTTGTTTGATTCTCTCCAGGATGATACGACTTAGTATCTTGCTTGGAATGGACAGAGGCATAATTCCACGCCAGTTTTTACATTGACTTAAGTCTCCTTTCTTTGGAAGTTTGAATAAGTAACTGTTCTTCCAATCCTCGGGTACTTTGCCCTCATTCCACACCTTCTCCAGCAGTGGTGTCATCAAGTCCGCTCTTGTCTCTGGGTCTACTTTCAAAGCTTCTGCTGGGATTCCATCTGGTCCCGGTGTTTTCCCAGCTTTAAGCAACTTGATTGCATTCAGGACTTCTGATTTCGTCGGGGGTCAATGTTCACTGGTAGTTCTGCTTCCGTTGTTGGTATTGCTGGACGTGTTGTAGCTGGCGGACGATTTAAAAGTCTTTTGAAGTGTTCAGCCCAGTGCTTTCTCTGTTCCACCTCTTTGGTGATTGACTTTCCATTGTCGTCCTTTATTGGCTTAATCTGTGTCGAACGTTTGCCCGAAAGGTTCCTGGTTGTTTGGTAGAGTGTGGCGAGGTCTCCTTTGCCTGCAGCTTGTTCTGCTTGACTTGCCATGCCTTTCTAATTTTTTCTTTTGTCTTCCCTAGCACTCTTCTTCACTCTTTTGTTCAGTGTATTGTAGCTTGCATTCAGCTCCTGTTTTTGTTGCTCGTCAGTGCACTGTATAATCTTTTGTTTCACTGTCCTTCTCTCTTCTATTAGTTTCCAAGTGTCCGTAGTGAGCCACTGTTTGTCCTGTCTCTTTTTTCTGCCTAGAATTTCTATGCAGGTTTGGCTCCACACCGTTTTCAAGTTGTTCCAGTGCTTTTCGACGCTGACCTTTTCGCTGGTGTTGATTTGTGTCTCGGCTTTTTCCCTTATGTTTGCAATGAAGATGTCCTTTGTAGCCTGGTCCTTCAGTTTTTGAGTGTTGAACTTGACTTGTGGTCTATCTGCAGCTCCTGTTCCCCTGAAAGCTTTTAATTTGATTTGGATTGTTCCTTGTACGAGATAGTGGTCTGAGCCAACGTCTGCTCCTCTTCTTACTTTTGTGTCCAGTAGGCTGCGCCTCCACATCCTTGAGCACCGTTGAGATGAAGTCAATTTGGTTTTTGGTTTGCCCGTCTGGTGACACCCATGTAGCCTTGTGGATATCTTTGTGCTTGTATACACTGCCACCAATCACTAGTTCGTTGAAGGCGCAGAATTCGGCGAACATTTCTCCATTTTCATTAATGTTTTCAAGAGCTTCTCTGCCCATGATGAGTTCTCTTCCTGTGTTGTCTGGTCCCAGTTTGGCGTTCATGTCTCCCATTAGTATTTTAATGTCGCCAGCTGGAGTATTGTCCATTGTTGCCTGTAGAATTCTTCTTTCTTTTCGAGGTCTGCGTTGTTTGTGGGTGCATAACATTGTATGATTGACATGTTCTTTCCTTTGGAGTTGAACCTGGCGGTCATTATCCTGGACGAAATCGCCTCCCATTGCATCAGGGCCTTTGTTGCCGTTGGTGACATCATGATAACCACGCCCTCGGTGTGCGTGTGGTTATCTTCTGGGTGACCGGAGTAGATCACTGACTCACCCGTTGACAATTTGGTCAGTCCACTCCCATTCCATCTGCTTTCACATATTCCCAGCACTTGTATTCCGTATCTTTCCATCTCGTTGGTGATCTGGGCAGCTTTCCCAGTCTCGTACATAGTTCAGACGTTCCATGTTCCCACACAGACTTTTTCTTTTGATGCAAAGAGGTTCATTTTGCTGAAGGTTCTGTAGTAATTTTGTTTACAGGGTGGGGTTGCTAGCCTCACGCCCGAGAAAGGAATGATTACATTAAGTAAAAGTTTAGAGAGAAGCACCTTTTTGTGTTGATAGATGTGTTTATGTTTAAAAATTCCACAAATCCAATTCGTTAGTTATATGTATTATCTGTCAATAAGATTGTGTTTTTTGGATTCAGTGTTCGAGAGGTTAATAATTGTGATAGTTTCCGCAAAACTCTTGGGATAAAATTTTATAGAAATAATAGTTTTTATTAATAAGCAAAATGTAGCGTAGTAGTCGAAAAGCGCGCGTAATGGGGAAACAGCCCTAAAATATGCTTAAAATATTAAATCTTGAAAATTAAGCATTTATTCATAAGTAAAAACACAGTTTTTGTTCAGCGAAGAAATTTCTTTTCAACGACTTCATTTTCAAGCTCTACAGTCGTATTTATATTACAGAAAAATTGGTTTTAGTTGCACTAAATAATTGCTCAGTCAATGTACGTATATATGTGATAAAAGTTATAAGGGGTAGAGTTGAAATGGATAAATTACAAAAATATTAAAGATCGTTCTATAACAAAAATGTCAAGTGTTGTCTAAAAATTTTGAAAATTAAGAGTACGTTTACTATAAGGATGAAGATGTGAAGTGAAGTGGAAAGAATTCAAGTGGTAAAATAAAATAAAAACTAGAAAGAACATTATTATGACCAAGGTAAAGAAAGGGGTTTGACAAAACGCTTTTGAACACATAATTTAGGTTTCTGTTCGTGTATAGCTAAAGCTTCGGCTATGCATAAGTGAAGAAAACGTAAACTTTTTGATCGATTTGATTTTGCCATGTATATAACTTTGAAAGATGAATCACGTGGGGCTAAATGACCAGGCTCTAACAGGTGATCACAAATAGACGACTTTGCAGTTCTACGTTCGCCTTTCATTAACCAAACCGGATGGTGTTCAGCTACACGTTTTCGGAGATTACGCTTACAACGTCCAATATAAACAGCTCCACAAGAGCAAGTAAAAGAGTAAATGCACATAGATGTGGACAAAAGCGGTAATCTATCCTTGACGTATTGTCTGATCATATTTCGGCTGGTAAAAACTAGTTGCAGGTCAGCTGCAGGAAAAGTGCGTTTAATACATTTAGATAAACGATTTTTAATCAATTCTGAAATGGTGTCACCTTTGAATGCAAGACTCATAAACAGCTTTTTATTTGGTACTGTGACTTGTCTCGGGTTGGATTCTTTCTTGATGTTACGTTCAATGAACCTTGTGGGATAACCATTGTTAAGGAGATTTGATCGAAGGTTATCTAGTTCCCTATCGATTGTCTCTGCAGAGCAGATTTTACGAATTCTGGAGCATAAGGAATGAATAAGATTTCTCTTTCTCCCTAAAGGTACCCAGCTGTTGAAGATAGTATACTGCCCAGTGAATGTTGGCTTTCGGTAAATCGACCTTCGAAGCGCTCCATCCTCTTTTCTATCTAGCTTAACATCAAGGAAGTGAAACGAAGAATCCGACTCTTCTTCGATCGTGAAAAGCAAAGATGGGTGAGAACCATTAAATATTCTAAGAAGTTCGGCAGTTGAAGTGTTTTCATCACATACAATGAAGGTATCATCAACATATCTTTTATACATAAACAGACTATCGATGGTTTCCTTTAGTGGGCCATTCTCTAAGTTTGCCATGAAAACGTCCGCTAAGAGCGGTCCTAAAGGAGACCCCATGGCGACTCCATCCCTTTGGTTGTAGATGACATCATTAAATCTAAATTGCACATTCAGTGTGCATCTCAATAGTAGTTGTTTAAGATAATCAGTTGGTAAGCCAATGTTCATGCTATTTGAATCAATATACTCGCATAGATAGCAGATAGTGTCTACTAGTGGTACATTTGTGAACAATGAACAAATATCTAACGAAATCATATGCTTA